TTGGTTCCCAACCACAGACTTGCATTTAACAGTTCCAGGAGCAAACATCAAATGGACACTGTACATGCTCCCTGTCTCTCACTGTAACTTTTTAAGCATCATGAAGGAGCTATCTCAGCAAGTATGGCCTCACCTCTAGAGCACATTCCTTTCATCAGTCCACAAGTGCTTGGGCTTTGCAGCCAACAGAGTAAAGGTCGTTCCTCTGCTTTCATTCCAGTGTAATATTTTGTGTGCTGTTTGTTGCTATGTATCTGGGCACAGCAACACAGCCCCACTCCCACACATTGATAACAGCTTTTGCAACTCCCAGATTCTGCACGTTTCATCTTAGTCACCAGTTAGAAACAAAAGCAGGACCCTAGGACAGTATAACACACAGTGTTTATTACTGCATGTCCCCTCTGAATTTCAGTAGTCTTTATACTGTAACGTAAGGAATATACAGTAAAACCAACCCGACAACTTCAAATTGCAGCCTGTGTACATCTGAAATAGTGACAGACCACACCATTGAGTTCTGCTGAGTCTGGTACTGCTTTAAATAGTACACATCAATAGAGGTAGGTCTCACTGCCAGTGGAGAGTTAAGACTGGTTTGAATCCAACGCATAGCATTAATTTTACTGGTATCCAGTGATAACATAATTTTTTTTTTAATGATGGAAGATAAATAACAACCTTATGAGATTAGGAATAGAGAAATGGTGAATGACAAAATTAGCTTTTAAAGCATTGTTACCTCTGACACTCAGGGATCCATTTTTGAATACTATTTTTCATCCTATGATCTGAGGCCGGCAGAGTATTGGCAAGAACCCTATGCTGCCTTGTATGGTATTTCAGCCATAAATTGAGGCCCTAGAACAATGATTTACAAACAATCTTAATCCTGTGGAAAGTGGTATGATCTGAACAGGGAGGGGAAAAAAAAGCACATCGTGGCCCTGAAGAAGGAATGGCTCAGTGAATGGATATAGAGAAACTGGTGGGTGATCTAAGATTTGAACTTTATGACAGGAAGTTTCATGTCAGGCATAGGATCTCTACTATAGCAGAAATAGGACAGTGAAGAGAATACAAGGGACTGTTTCACATGGACTTAGAGGGTAAGAAATATCTTGTAAGAAGGAAAACAAGAAAGGAACCACATTAGAAAAGAAGAGGAGAGAGCAGAAAAGATGCAGGAAAAGGCAGAAGTCTATAAAAATCACACCGAGCTTGGGCTTTGGCCCAGAAAACAGATTAATAGGTCTCAAACTGAACAGGTTCTTCAAGCATAGGAGAGCAGAAATCTGTTTAGCCACCTTCTGTAGGCAAGAACACTACTGTAATAAGGTACTGACTGTCTTATTGATAAGGCTATTTGTGAAATAAAATGCTTTTTCTCAATTTTCTCTGGATGAGCATTTAGAATCACAGAAATTTTCACTTACTGGAGACCATAATCCTTTGCAAGACTTTGTGCATTCTTCCCTTATGCACTTCTAGGTTGGTTTTGAACAACTGAAGAGCCTCATTTCTAACTTGAGAGTTTCCTGCTCAACCCCATTGTTCATACTACTACTGGGATTTTTCCCCCCTAATTACATTGCCTGAAGTTTTCCTTTAGGTCATATATTCTTTGTTTCCTGTCCAAAATGAATTATAATTCATCACAGCTACTGGCATATTTGTGCAGCAGTTGGCCTTCGCTCTTTTTTTCTGTTGGACAAGCTGCAGGAACAGTTGTCTTGGAATCATATTTATTAAAATTGTATAATGGAAGTAATTTGCATTCCTATTATGTCTACCATTGGGCTGATCCAGCAACAGACCCTCTAGGAACTGGTGAGTTCTTTAAACCCTCCCTGAGGTCACGTGGATTTGCAGAGACCCCTTGTCTCATACAAAAGAAGTCAAGGATCTGGCAAAACCAATAACTTTCTCTCAGCCCAAAAGCCATAAGAAAACATAGTTCTATAACCTACTCAATTCATTCAAGCTAATCCAACAGGGAATGCTGTGGGCTGTCATTTATAATTTGGTTTCTTTTCCAGAATATGCAAACATGTCAACTGAACAGAAGTAGATGTGCCATAGAGAGGTTGACAGTATTTGTGTTTGTACTGGTATAGGGTAACAGAGCTAAAAAGCATAATTAAAAAAAAAATAAAATCTCCAATGCCACATTTCTAGTACAATAATCCTATTAGACTGCTTAGACCCAATTAGGACAGGTTCCAAACATGGCAAATGGAGGATAAAATTCATAATATACTTGCACTAAGTTTAGGACAACGTGCCCCATTTGAGACAAAATACACCTTCTTATCACCTACACTGGCAAATTTCTTGCAGTACCTGAAGCACATTGCTGGCCCAAAGCAGTTTCCCTCCTCACAGCTCTATTATATTCAGAGGAGAAGGTATTAGTTTAAATTTAAATACTTGGGTCAAATGTTCACATTAATGAGTTTTAAATTTCCAGAATAGGCATGATGAGATGGTTAAGAACTTTCACAGGTGCTGTACCTCCCATCTAAGCCATTCCAACAAAGGCTCTCTGCACAAGCCCACGTGAGGAGAGTTTATGGTCAGCAGAATCTCACCTTGAAGAGCTGAGATTCAGCAGCATCAGTAACGAAATCCATACTATGGGTGTCCCCTTCCTGCCCAATAGTCTGTGCCTGCAACATCAGATACGCTGAACCTTCTACTTCCTCTTTCTTTCTTCTTTATATCATCCAATAATCTCTTTCTTGATTACAGCTGGGATAGGGTTAATCTTCTTAGCAGCTGCTACAGTGATGCGGGTTTGGATTTAGTATGAGAATAATGTTGACTGTATGCTGATGTTTTGGTAGTTGCTGAGTAGTGCTCACCCAAAGTCAAGTATTTTTCATGCTCTGGCCGTGAGGAAGTGCACAGGAAAGTGGGAGGGACTGTGGCCAGGACAGCTGATCCAAATTGGCCAGAGGGATATTCCATACCATAGAGTGTCATGCCCAGTATATGAACCAGGGAAGTGCCAATTGTTGCTCAGGGATGGGCTGAGCATTGGTCAGTGGGTGGTGAGCAATTTTATTGTGCATCACTTCTTTTTCTTGAGTTTTATTCCTCTCTCCTTTCGTTATCTCCCTTTTCCCTACAATTATTATATTTTACGTTATTTAAATTATTAAACTGTTCTTATCTCAACCCACAAGTTTCACCTTTTTTCTGATTCTTCTTCCCATCCCACCAGGGGACTGGGAGTGAGCAAGAGGCTGTGTGGAACTTAGCTAACAGCTAAGTCATAAATCCATGACTTTTCCCTCCCATTTTCAAACACCATTCACTCAAATATGTTCTAGCTACTTACTGGTTATTCCAGACAACCAGGAAAAAAATGAACAAAAGCTTACCAAGTGGAATCTATTGGCCTGGCCAACGTGCAAGAGAATTCAAGACCTAGAAAACAGACAATAGTTCTGTGCTTCACTGAAATCTTAAAATGAAATTTGGTCACCCGTAGCATAAAAAGGGGAAGGGCACATTTTCCATAAAGATGTTTTTATAAAGGACAATTTTATCAGATCTCTGTGGATCATCTTTGATTGGTCTGCCATTGAAATAGTAAGTTGAACATTAACTCTGCTCATGTTTAATAAAGCCGTAAAAGCAAAAGCTTTAAGAGATTCATATGCAAGCAAATTTTTAATTTCTTAATGGCCTTTCCCAAGATATATTTATTCTGAGCAAGTTATTGCAGGGGTAAAGCTTTCCTAAAAGCATCACTGAGGTTTCAGAGGAAAGGTAACAGCACAGCATTTATGACAGCAAGAGCTAAAGCATTGAAACTGTAGTAGAAAAAAAGTTTACAATTTGTACAGTAGGAAAACATTGTTCTGAATAAACAATACAAAAATCCCAAGTGGTACAAAAACACATTATTGAAGAAAACACGAGATCTGTTACCAATAAAGTAGAGAACACTGAAAAAGCACAGCTGTTGTTGGAAATTCATAGTATGTTGAAAGTTAATGATCAAGAGCTCAATAATTTATATATAAGGGATAATTAATATTAATTGGCAATTAATTGACATAAAATTATAATTATACAATAGATTCATTAAAGCAAATAATTGAATAATTAAATACTCTATTAAATTAATTAATTCTAAATTAATTGATTCATTAATAAGTAGTTTAAAAACAACACTAGCCTGAGTAACAAAATCCAGTAAGTTTTGAGTTCAACAAGTATTAAAAGCTGCATTTCACTTCCATTCCCATTTCTTCAGGGATACAGTGAAATTCCAGGTGCAACTGATGGATTCTTTAAACTTATTTTTGTTCAGAGAGGCCTCTAAGGTAAGCTGCAGTATGGTGTCAAGATTAATTTGGTGGACCAACACACAACAGTGTGACTCTTTGGTATTGTTGGCTTGCTGTAAATCACAAAGTTATCAAGATTAATGCAGGGGCACAACAGCTATTTGTCCAGGCCCCTTTGTGACATCTGAAACAGCTTAATAATCCTGATTCTGAAAAAGGAAATGAGAGTTGTTGCAACAGAGGAAAAAAAACCCCAAAAATCTGTTAGCATCTTGGTTCAATTCCTGCCTCAAATTTGACATTAATTGCCTGCTAACTCCAAAGGGAAATCTTAATTCTAAAGAATAATGTGCATATTACATCATTCCTATTTACACAAGTGTTTATTGTAAGAATACTCATTCAAGATGAGCTATTTATTTCTTCCTTCTGTTCTTCAGGGACATACATACCCTGAAGAATACTGAATTTACCTATTGATGAAAAAAAACAACTGTCAGAAGCCTCTTAACATTGTTGCTATGCCCTTATATCCCCAGAGTGAAGACAAAAAGGGAGGCAAGTTGCATTTAGCACAGAGTTAGCAAGAACATGGCAGAAAATTTGACAAGCTACCTCTTTTCAGCAGCTCTGTGCTAAGTGTCTGTACACGTACTTTCCCTCTTGCAAGCAAATCTGAGGAAATTTGAGGTTGCTTACCTGGAATTGAAGCAGTATCTTATTCCTATTTTAAATGATCTTTCATCCTTCACACTAATGCTTCTGCTTCTCTCAAAAAAAGGATAAAATATCTTTAAAATAAGTCATCTGCTGTCGTTATAATAACAGGGCATACAAGGAACTGGTATGATTTATTTTTGTGAGATGGCTGGGGACACAATTCTTTGGCAATTGTAAAATAAAAAAAAACAAAACAAAAAAACCCAACAAAACAAAACGTTTGTGTTATTTAAAGAGCACCAGTCTCAAGTAAAAATCAGTCATAAGCTTCCATCCTGTCTTTTGCCTAGTTGGTATTTTAAAATATGCACTTTAAGTTCAGAGAGGTCACCCGAAGAACGAAAAGATATACTGTCATGGTATCAGACAAAGAAAAAAAATAAGATTCCTGCACTCTAAACCCCTGATCTAATAGAACACAACATCGTATCAGATCCAGAATCCTCTTGGTTTGGCATAAATACCATATATGTACATTCATTTTAATAAACTAAGTCCTTCAGAAACAGAAGTTACTTGCTATGTCTTGCAGTTGGTTTTACCTTGTCTCACTGCTACAGCACTGAATTACTTCACTAAGACAAATCAGCGAGTTTTAGCACTAAAAGGATCACCTGCCCACCTCAGCAAGTGCAGCGACTCAAAAGAACAGTGACACTGAACTTCAGTGCATTACAGTATATTTGAGCAATTTTCTCAAATCCTAGTGGCAAAGATATAAAAAAAGATCTATGAGAAACATAAGCACTAGAAGAAAACTGTCTTGGGCCACAAGAAAGAAGTGACAGCAGAAGATACTTTATTACTTTGTGTATGAAAGTGGCAATTTGATATTTTTGATATTTTACGCCACATTCTAGAGGTTTCCCTTTTGAAAGAATCATAGAATCATAGAATCATAAAATGTTATTTTCTCCCTCTCTGACACAGAAAAGGTAGGTATGACCATCAGGTAAGATATATTTCTGATTGTTTTCCAGGATATGGTATAAGGAGGTGTTCAGTGAAAACATGATTTTGCATAAATTTTTACTAATTAATAATTCTCAGTTTTCATAAAATTAACCAAAACAGGGCTTTGTTCTTTATAAAAGAATCAAAAGGATACAATGAAAGGAAGTTCTTTAGTTTTAGCTCTCATATTTTCAATTATTGCTAAGATTTTGGAAAAAATTCCTTCGTAATTAAACTATAGCTATTAAAGAAACAGGATGTCTTTGTAATAACAGCAACTCTTTTTCATTCACTTGTAACATTCACGAAAAATCCGAAGAGAACTGCTGTTCACCATTTCTCAATTGCAGAAAACAGTCATAACCTGCTTAATCCACAGGATATCATGAAGATAATCACAAATATCTCCATGCTTTTTTTGCAGCAAATCACAACAAGATGTCAATATGATGTTTAAATCAGGGCTGCAAATAAATCCAGTCAATCCTAGCCAAGAGGAAAATGATTTTAAAATATTTGGTGATCTGAAAAGCAAGCTTCATGGTTTTGTGATTTACATGTTCAAGACAATTTGTTCTTCTCAAAGTTATCAGAAAAATATTTTCATGCTGATAGCAAAAATTACCAACTGTTTTATAACAGACATACAGAATGCAGATGGGTCTAACAGAGGTTGTAGAGCTGAGCTTGATACTAGTATTAAATAATTTATCAGTGATTTGAAATCAAATAATTTAAAAATTGGGGAGTTTATATTAATGTTTGTATGTTTAAATTTTCCATGTGTATTTAATTTGCTAAAGCTTCCAGCATCGCCAAAAGACAGCTCCTTCTTAGTAACTATGTCAATAATGTCTAAGTTTGTAAATACAGCAAATAAACTGAAGGGAATGCAGAGAGATTTCCCATTACAGATTACAAGAGTCACAAGATATTTCAAAAAGCCAAAGTAAACAAATAGAATCAATGAAAAAAAATTAGTTCAAAATATTTATTTCTAGATTTTAGCTTAAGTAGGTTCAACGATGGAAACAGAAAGGTAGCATTGTCACATCATCATGCAACAGAACAAAAGAAACCCCAGTCAAGACAGTCCATATGTATTTCTTGCCTTGTCCTAATTTTGTTTTTGCACTGCTAAGTGCAGAACTCCATTTAGCAATGCAAGGAAAATAATCTCAGGTCCTATAACATTTCATCAAAATCTCATTTTCCTCCCCTTCCCTGACCAGCCCCTCATTTCTATCCAGCCATCTCACTTCACATAGCAACTGAATTCACATTGTCTACAAAAGAAAGCAATCTGGTGCCATTACAAATCATGGCACTCGAATGTCTTCTGCCTGGACTAAATTAGGGAGTGCACATTATTAGTGCTCTCAAAAGCCCTCTGTTACCCCTCCTTGAACTCCTCTTCTCTTACAGCATATCCATGATTGTACTACTTTTCCCTCCTCCAGGGTATACGGTGCTATGATAAAACCAAATCTCATTTTCTCTGAGGAAGAAAAATCATGACATCTATCATTCATGGATGAGAAACTCCCTCAGTGGACTGACCTGCCTCCATCTGCTTCAAGTTGGAGAGCAGTCTGTGTCATATCCTATGTGTTCAAAATGAGCCCACATACACCTCAGGGTCTGAGATACCAAAATGAGTAGCCCAAATATCTGGCCTTCAGGGACATTTGCCCCACTTGAGAAAGAGGACACGTGCAAAGGTGTCCTTGTGTTCACATATGCCCACACACAAGCACAGAACAAGCACTTGTGCCCACACACTGTGTAGGGCTTTGCTGTTCCATGGCCAAACACTGCCCTGTGTTTTCCAGCCCATGCCTATTCACACAAAATTCTTTAAAAAATGTTGCCATGTACCACTCCTTAAAAAAAGCCTCTGAATGAAGGTAGGGATTTCCAGTGAGTCCAGAAGATGGGATAACTCTGGATACACGATGAAACTGCTCCACACAAAGAACCGGGTCTGTACAGGCTCACTATTAAATGTTATCCTACAAAAATTCATATAGTTGCAAGCCATACCACTGCAGGAAAAAAGTAATCTTGTCCTTAAAAAGAGCTAGTAAGTAATCTTTTTGCAATGACACCTTTTTTCCCAGCAGTTTGTGAAAATAAAATGTGAGTGATTCAAGCCCTAACACTTACAGGCACCAATGGCTTAATTATTTAACAGTTCCTGGACTGCTGATATTTCCAGCTTGTGGACTTAGTTACAGGCTCAGACCTAGGGAATTGTGTTAGTGAAAACAGATTATTAAATAATGAAATACAGGCTTTGAAAAGCCTCTGAGATGTTTACCTTTAGGAATAAGACCAGCATTAAGAGACTTCTAATAAAATATTGAATGAATTAAGGGACTTCCTTTTTCTGTATGCAGAGGTTACATTTAAATCCCCTTACTGCATAGCAGCCTTAGGCAACACAACCTGACTTGACATTCTGTTGCCTTGAAAGGATGAAGAAGCCAGGTTTTTCTACATGAAAGGCAGGCAGGACTCTTCCTTCTACTCTTTAGCTGTTCTCTAGGCTCCCTAGTTGAGCAGGGCTGTAGCAATAAAATTAAAAACCCTAGAAAGACTTCGCCTGATTTTCACTGGATTTTAAGTGTATGTGTGTTTGTTTTCTAGAATGGAAGCTAACTTTTTTGTGAAGCTCATAACTGAAGCAGCCCTAAGCCATGGCAAACTATACAAGTCTTTGTAAGAGCAAGATGTCCTGGCCATCAGTGAGCACAAAAAAATAAAAAAAAAAAAAAAAAGAGAGACTAAAGGCCTGCAGGGTCATTTGCCTAGTCAGAGAACATTGGTGAAAGTTAAAAAAAAACCCCTCAGGTTGCTACTTTGAGTCTTTCAAAGCTGTCTGAGATCTAATGAAAAAACAAACAAACAAACAAAACAGGACTTCTGAAAATATAATCCTGTAAGTTTGTCCCTTCCAAAAACATTAATCTTCAAAAATCTCTTCAGTGTAAGAAGCACTACAACCTCAGCTTTGTAACACTTTGCCTGAAACCCGACTGTGATCCATTACTGCAAAGGTCACTGATTCTTTCATCATAGTCACATCAAATACCAGAATCACAGAAACACATCTTTTAACATCTTAGCTTCGACTAACCATCCTATTCTCTCCCTGAACCACTATCCCTAAATATTGGCAGCCAGCTCCTGTCACTGCACCTTTTCCTGACACTCAAAGTATTTGGCTGGTGTAGCCATGTGATAAGGTATGAAAGGGTGCATGTACTTTCCCAGGTGCAGGCTGTCAAACACCAACTCTGTTTCCCCACCTCCCCCAGAGCCGTGAAGAGTGAGCCAAGTTTGGCTGGGAAGGCTGGGTAACTGCCTCAGTGATAATGGCTGTGACAGAGGTGACACTGCTGGAATCCTTGGGGTTACCGACACAAAATGTGACTGTCTCATGATAACGCCAACTATTGTGATCCTTGCAAGAACAGCAAGTGCAAAACGATTTGGGTATCTGCAGACAGTTATGGGGCTTTTTCTTCACAAGTCTCCTGCTTCAAAGAATTTGATCTTACTGGGAAGTGCTGCAGAAGGGTCTGTGACCTCTGCAGAAGGTTTCAACTGTAGAAGCTACATAAAGCATCACTGGGAGAGAGGCCCACTCCTTCTTATCTCCTGTACTGCCAGATCCTACACCTCAGCACAGACTCATTTGCTCACTCTTTCTCACTCTTTGCTTGGGATCTGCTCACCTCAGAAAAAAAAAAAGGAAAAGACACACACACACAAAAAAAAGAGTTCTGGCATTTTGTGGGGAAAAAGATGAAGAGTTGATATTTGACACTGAAGGAAGGAGTACAGACTTCCCCCTCTGCCTATTCTTCTCCCACACTAGTGTGGAAAGGCCTGTCATGCTTCCAGGGGAGGATAAGAGACAAAAAAGAAGGAAACAGCAGAATGAGACTGGCCACCCCAGGGTGTGTCATTAAGACTCTGCAGGGTCTTGTGACTCGTGCTGAAAGAAGTAACACAAAAAAAAACAATTGCAGACATTCTGGTGCAGAAATATTCCCTTTGTGCTATTATTTGTTTGCCCTATTGGTTTTAA